GAGGAGATTCAGCTTTCCTTTCCAAGGTACAGGGAAGATCCTGGGAGCGCCTGTTTCTCTGCCCCTACAGTAACCCCCAGGTGTCATTACCCAGACTGGCCACATGCAAAGCAAGGGGGCCTGGAGGCCAGGGAGCCAGCTGCCTGAGCTGAGCTGCCCTGGACAGGGACTGCCTTAAAGTACTGCACCTCCACTGGTACAAAGCCACCCGATGACCGGGAAGTGGGAGCATCCTGCCACACAAAACTCGGGGCAAATCGGAAAGCTCCCCTATGCATCCACTGGTGGTGGGCAAGAACCATGCAGCATGGCCACACAGGGGGAGGTGCTCTTAGAACAAAAATAAAGGAACGGCTGGTTCATGCTGCACCTCGGATGAGCTCAGAACACCTCCGAAAGGAGCCGATGACAAGAGACTCCCTGACTCTCACTTACAGCACCCGGGGATTCACACGCACTAGGAAGCTGTACTGTGAGTGGTGACTGTTGATCTGCTGTGGTCTGATCCTTTCCCAGGAGGCAGAGCAGGGCCAGTCAGGCCTGACACCGCCAGGAACACAGCTGCCATTCGGCCATACGTGGGCCATGTTAAGTGTCTTCTTACTTACAGGCATTACAATTTACCAGCCTAGCGCCCCATCAGAAACTAAGGCGTGGAGGCATGTGAAGTGTCTGCAACAGGTGAACAGAGGCAGACATGAGATGAGGGATTGCCAGGGCCTGCGGAGGGACTGTTTAATGGGCGTGGCTTCTTTTGAGGTGATGAAGATGTTCTCAACTAGATGCCTATGATAGTAGCAGGTGCTCTGAACACTCCAGCTCACTGGGCTGTGCACTAGCGCCTGTGGTGGTGTGTGGATTCCATCTCCCTGACACCCAGGGAAGCCAGAAGTCCATCTCGCCACATCTGCCTCATGGTTCAGGCAAGATGCATGCAGAGCAGCCCACTGGGAAGCAAGGTGCATGGAGCCACTGGGCCCCCCAGGGGGTGAGAGTGCCACAGACAGGCAGGCAAGGAGCGGAGGCCAGGTCCCGTCAGTCCAGCAAGTGATGGCCGGGTGGCTGAAGACCCTGCATACAGATGAAGCAACATGGCCGGGCGCCGGTGGCTCACGCCTGTCATCCTAGCTACCCAGGAGGCTGAGATCTGAGCATCACGGTTCAAAGCCAGCCCAGGCAGGAAAGTCTGTGAGATTCTTATCTCCAATAAGCCACCAGAAAACTGGAAGTGGCACTGTGGCTCAAGTGGTAGAGCTCTAGCTTTGAGCTGAAGAGCTGAGGGACAGCACCCAGGCCCAGAGTTCAAGCCCTAGGACCAACAACAAGAACAAGAAAAAAAAAAAGAAGCAACATGTAGGAGGGCAGGGCAGGAAGCAGGCAGCCGGGGACAATATGTAAGGGACAGACCTGACAACAGAAATGGCACCGCCCTCCAGGACTGAGGATCACATGCCCATATGGCTGCTCGCTCTCATCAGCCAACAACCTTGGCTCGATCTCTCCAGACAGAGGACCCCGAAAGACAGAGGGTAAGAAAGGGAGTGGCGACAGCTCAAGCCACCCAGAGGATCTTTGGCCAAAAGTTTCAGGTAGGCATCATGGCCCTGGCATTGGATACGCCCTGCTGCTTTGACTCTGGCTTAAGCCGACGCCCTCCACAAAGCTTCTCCCCATCAGCGCACGGGGCAGCTTGAGAACACCCTGAGTGGAAGAAGGGTTATCCTTATTCTTGGGTTTGGGTCTTTGTGAGATCTGACTCCCACCTGCACCCACACGGGGGCACACGAACATACGTATATGTAGATGTGTAGTACGCGCCGGCATGCACGCGCACGTATGTGTGTGTGTGTGTGCGCGCGCATGGTGGTACTAGGGCTTGCACTAAGGACCTGTACAGGCAAGTGCTCCCCACTTGAACCACACCGATAGTCCCTAGTGCTCTTTGCCTTGGTTACTTTTTGGATGGGGTCTTATGCTTGGCCCAGGGCTAGCTCCACAGTGTGACCCTCCTTCCGAGGGTGGTGTACCACCATGCCAGCCTTATTGGTTAAGGTGGGGTCCTGCTAATATTTTGCCAGGCTGGTCTCAAACTTTCTTCCCAGTCTCAACATCCCAGGTAGCTAGGCTTATAGGCGTAAGCCACTCTGCCCACCTTTTCATTATTAGTGTGGGGTTTGAACTCAGGGTCTCTGCGCTGCTCTGCCACTTGAATGACATTTCCACTTCTACCTTTTTGCTGGTTAACTGGAGATAAAGCCTCACAGATCTGTCTGCCTGGGCTGGCTCCAAACTGAGGGCCTCAGACCTCAGCGTCCTGAGTAATTGGATGTTGGTGTGAGCTCCCAGCACTGACAGAAGCTGCTTTTGTTGTTCTTGCTGGTTGGGGGGATAGTTGTCTGTTCCTGGCTAGTCACAGTGGCCATTATCAACTAGTTCACGCAGAGTTCAACACTCCAGGTTCTGGCTTTCCAGCCATTACCTTCTCTTTCCTGATTGCTCGCACACCAGCAGTATCTTCTGGACAGCGCTGCACCTGCAGAAGCGTGGTGCTTACCCCGCTGGAGAAGGAGTGGCAGGGGCTGGATTCAGCATGGCTGCTCAGTGAGGGGCCAGGGAGGGAAGAAGAGTTGTGTTTCCAAAGAAAAGTATTCTCTTTAAGTAATTGTACAAAGGAGGTGCCAGTTAACGAAGCGGTGTGTGAACACAATGGATTGTGATCAGTGTCTTCCTCCTTCATCGCTCTTGCCCCTGCTTTTGTACCACCCCTCCCCTTACTTTTCTTAATTTTGTGGTGTACACAATGAATTCTTGACTGCATCCCCCTCCCTCCTCCATGCATTTCTCCCTCTCCCCCGGCTTCACCCCCTCTTGCCTGGACCCCCTTCCTGCTGCTTATTTTGTTGGGCTTTGTCCTCTTTCTGGAAGAGCGCCCTGTTTGAGCTGCCCCTGGAGTTTATGGTCTCCCTCAGTTGCGGTCGACAGAGGGCGCCTGTAAATCTGTAAGTGAATGCTTTGGGTGGTGTGCAGGTGGTCACAAATGAGTTAGCTGAGGCTATGGACTCTAGGAGGGAGAGTTTGGCCGTTCGGGTCCCTTGGTCATCTGGGCTGTGACTTTTGTTCTTCACGTGCTTTGTTCCTGATGAACAGACAAGAGGTAGAATTTGGTGGCGAGAGCACAAGCTCTGCAGAGGGCTGCTGGGGCACAGATCCTGCCCTAATGCCTTACAAGTTGGGCAACAACTTCCTTGGACCTCAGCCCCCCTTCTATAAGCCACCTAAAACTGAATCCACCTCAGAGGGTCTTGTGAAGATTCGTGCAAAACTAAGTAAAGCGCTCCCGAGAGTGGCTGAAGGTATATTAGTCATGGTCATTGTCATCATCATCATCATCGTCATCTGTGTTTACCTCCACTTCCCCCTGACTGCAGCTCACAAGGGCTAAGAGGACACCTGTGCATCTGGCAGACTCTATCAGGAGAACCTCAGAGATCAGGCATGGAGGCAGACATGGGGCGTGGGCTTACTGGGAGAGGGGGAGCCCTGGAACTCCCAATAAGGCTGAGAATGGAGGAGTCGCTAAAATCCACATTGAGGCTGAGACCACTGACCTCTTACACAGCCTGGTCAGCAGGTGGCCATGCCACTCCTGCTCAGGAGAAGATGGCGTGCGTGGGAAGTCAGGCGGCCAGGCACAGGAAGCCTGGGGAGAGCCACCAGGCTGGCAGCTGAGGGGTACTGGAGAGCCCTGGGCCTCTCGGTCAGAGCCTAGCACAGGAAATGACCTTCGAAACGCAGTGGAAAAGCAGTGGTGAGAGCCTGGCAGCTCAACTCCACAGGAAGCCCCTGCCCGGACACATGGAACATGGCAGCTCTGCCTTTGGTTCTGGATCTCAACTGTGACAGAGCCAGTGGGCAGTGCCCACTGTGAAGGTGTTGGTCAGGGTCCTGGCAGGACAGGGTGCAGCAGTCAGGAAATTCAGCAAAGGATGGGGGTGCCTTCAGGCCACCAGGGAGGGGATGGCAGAGGACTGAACCCCACACGCTGTCCCTGCTCTCCTGAGCAATGCCTGGCTCTGCACACTCAACCCACTGGGATGCGGCGGTGAGCCCAGCAAGGGCAGGATGCAGGGGCAGACCCCCCCCCCCGGGCCTCCGCGGGACCTGGCTCCTTGCACTGTGCCAGATCTGGGGAGCAGAGCTGACACCCTCAGTGGGAGCTCACTCCTGCCCTTGTCTCGTGGGGAGTCGGCAGTGTTGAATATATAATCACCTGTCTATTCTATTTAAAGGGCACTGCTATAATTGTCCTTGGTGCACAATGATGAGTTTCTCTAGGATATAATTGTTTACTCATAGAGTATGCGCATGTGAGACTTTATCTGATAATGTTAACATACTATCAAAAATGGTAGTTCCAATTTAAATCACCTCTGGTATCTATAAACAGATCAGTTATGTATTCTGCCCAGCATTTACTTCATTGTGCATAGGAGTATAATACTGGCTTTATAGGTATGGTGAGGAACAATTATATCATTTAGGAAGATAGTTTTTAAAGCTATATTATCATGGTTGTTATTGTTTTTGGCGCTGGTACTGGGGCTTGAACTCAGGGCCTGGGAACTGTCTTTAAGCTTTCACTCAAGGCTCATGCTGTACCACTCAAGCCTTATCTCCACTCCCAGATTTTTGATGGCTAATTGGAGATAAGAGTCTCACAGTCTTTCCTGCCTGGGCTGGCTTCAAACCTCAAGATCCTTAGATGTCAGCCTCCTGAGTAGTTAGGATTACAGGCAGCACCCAGCTATTTATTTGTTAATAATACCAGTGGTCAGTTCAAAGCACAGGATGCTAATGAGCTAAGGAATGTCAGCAGCCCTTGCAGTGTTGTAGCTGGCCCTGGACTGTATATTGATTTTATGATGCCAGTGTTCAACATGTGTGCCTGGCATGGTTAATTTTATTTGCTAAGTTGTTTGAACTCTGTGTCTTCCCTTAGAATGTACAATAAAATGTGGTACCAGACCCAAGAAGCCCTCAACTCTTTGCTTGATAAAGAGTCTCAGAAGATGATAGAGCCACCGAAAAATAAAGTCTTCATCTTCCAAATGTTGGCCACCTTCTACATAAAGTACGTTCAGATCTTCCGAAACCTGGAGAACGTCTATGACCAGATAGTCCACCCGCAGAAACGAATACTGATCCGGAAGATTCTGGATGGAGTGATGGGTCGCATTCTGGAGCTGAAGAATGAGATGGTAGAATTGGAATTGACTGAGTTCCATTATTTTGATGATATTTTACAGGACCTAAAGTTGGCTCCGGTGAGTACTGGGGCAGCCCACCTCCCTTCATTCCTTTCTGTCATACACAAGACAGACAGGCTGGCATCCAGTGCTCTACAGACTTCACAGACACATCCACTGACAACTTGTTCAATAAAGATCTAAACATTGCTGTTAAATCATACTCCCCTTAAATATCCTTTCCTTTTCCACCAAGAGGAAGGTTTGGCCTGGTCCTTGGGCCTCTTAGGCACCAAGGTTTGGAATGAGCTGCTGGCACCTGCCAGGGCTGTTGTAATGGTGCAGACTGACCATGTCATGAATGCCCCCACAGCACGGTGCCTGCTGGCTTCCAGACCACGCCCTTCTCGCTAGTCTGCTCTCCCCGCTCACCTCCTAGACAAAGCCTCTATGCCTAGCAGGTGCATCTTCTCCTTTGCCTTGGTCAGTGTTGGCTCAGTGGATTTGTAGTTATGGACTTTGCACCTTAAATACCAAATAAAAGGGCCCCTCCTCCCAAAAAGCCCTCCTTTCTGGCCTCTGGTGACTGCCACACCTTCCTGTGATCACTACCCTTGTCTCCTTTGCTGCTGAGATTTCTTCTGATGCTTAGCGTGACTGAGCCTGCCCGGGGGCACGGGCACCTCACTTCTGAGGACTGGGATTCCAGAGGACCCTGTCCCCAGAATAAAACAAAAAGGAGAAAAGGTTTTGTTTTTACATGGAGTCTCAGATTTCCTCATTCTGAAAATATTTTGGCTCTATGGAAGTTACATTTCCATCTGGATGCACTCTTACATATTGTTATTTGATATTAATCAGCATATGCTAAAGGAGGAACTGAAATGGTGGACAGAGACACTGCAGCTCATTCCAAAGCCTGCGTGTTTGTTGCTGCCGTTCATAACACCACGAATTACATCACCGAATTATTTAGTCAGGTGTGTCTTACTCACACATGTGATAATAGGAGGAACCTAGAGTAAGGGTTAGTGGCAGGGTTAGGTTGAGGGTGAGGATTAGGGTTAAATTAGGGTTGAGGATAAATGTAAAACTAATAGGATAAATGTAAAACTAATATTTATTCAAGGGTACTCCTAAACTTAATTAGCAGAGCAATATTGAATCTATAAATCAAATTTCAAGGGTATTAAATGATCCCTGCTGAGTTCGCGGGGTTCTGTGCACTGCGCCCCTTCCTCTTTGTCCTCGCTGTTCCCATCACCTCGGCTGGCCCCTCTGCTTCGACTGCTCATCTTCCTGCTGGCAGGGCTGCTGCTGCCTGGGTGAAGGCCCCGAGCACTGCAGGCTGACAGTGGGCAGAGGTGGGTCCCGAAGCGCTTGTTGAGGGACGTACAGGGGACCATGCACTGAGCACTCCACCCACCCTCGCTGAAAACTGACCAAACCATATGGCGTCACTGAAGCCTCCCTCGGAGGCCTGGGCTTTGCCTTCAGGATACTGGCCAGGCTGACACATGTGAACCAGGCCCAGAACTTCTGTCCTTAAGGATGGACCCAACCAGACCAACTAACGTCCTCTGTGACGAGGCCTCCTGGGCATTGTCCACGTGGCCCTCAGCCCTTTGCCCACTTTCTGGCCAGCACCAGCTGTTTCCAAGTAAGACCCCGGGCCTGCACTGCTGTGGTTACCAGGCAGGGCCACCCGTGTGCTGCTCCATCCTTCCCGGGTAGATTCTGAAACTAAGATCCAGGGAGCAAGACCAGCTCTGCCCCAGGGTCTACACTGTGGTCTCCTTAACTGGCAAGTGGTTGGCACCTGGCTAACACAAAGACTTCATTCTTCAGAAGTAGAGAGGGAGAGAAAGAGAGGAAAGACAAAACAGATTAAACAAAATCCCACTTTTGGGCATTTACCCAAA